CCCAACAACAAAATGAAGTAACAAGTGAATAAAAAAAAAAAAAAAAAAAAAAAGAAGGGAGCCGTTGGAGTTTCGGACGGCGTCTTCTTTGATGAGAGGAGCTGCTCTGGCCAGAGCGGCCAGAGCAGCCGTGCTGCTTTGGCTGCTCGGAATATTCCTGTTTGTTCTTTTTCTTACTCTACAGGGTGCCACGACCCTTATTTGAAGCTGATTTGTTAAATTAATACCAAACAACGCGCTGGAACGGAGAAGGTAGAGAGTCTTGGCGTCAGAATTTGACGTGGTAGAAAAGAAAAGAAAATAACGAATGCACAATACATACCGTATGCCAAGACCATTATAGTCCGCTACTTGGCGAGGCCTTATGACGCAGCCGACGACTGTAAGGCTATTTATTTTGTTTCTTTTGATTTTTTATCGTGACGACTACTCCACTGTGCCTCAGAGTCTCCAGCGGAGATTCGGCAGTTTTTAATAATTATTATTATTGTCGTTTTGAAGGGCACTCTTCAAGTTCGTATGCTGCTTCGTTTCTGACGCCATAAAAATATGGGGCGGGATTACTTTGCACCAGGTATAAACAAAACTAAAAAAAAAGTTTTCGGATTGGTTTGTGGATACAATTAGTCCAATAATTGATAAGTACGATTATTTTAGCTTCATTATTAGCATCTTTTGTGTGCATGCGTGAAATACAACACCCAACGAGAAGACACGAGAACTACGCTGCAACTGCTGGACCATAGACCACTTTTGAGAAAATGCGCCGCAAGACAGGGGAGGAAGTAAGGGGAGACAACAAGTAGACTATGTAATGTCACCAAATTCCTGGGCGGGGAACACTTGGCGGTATCAGTGTATCGTTTTGAAAGCGATACAAAAACACGTCGGGGACACTGGACTTCTGGACCAACTTTGAGTGCGTGCGCGTCTGATGTGTGTTTATGCCATTATTTCTTTTTAGATTGTAGGCGGGAAAAACCCACACGGACTAGAGCCTGAGTAATGCAGAGTTGTTACTCAGGCCCCAGTCAGTGTGGATTTTTCGCGCTATAATCTAAACAGAAAGAATATTTTTATGGCGTCAGGAACGAAGCAGCATAGAAAGAGTGCCCTTCAAACGACAATAATAATTACTAAAACCTGCATGCCGGATCTCCGCTGGAGACTCCGAGGCACATTGGAGTAGTCGTCACGATAAAAAATCAAAAGAAACAAAATAAATAGCCTAACGGTCGTCGGCTGCGTCATAAGGCCTCGCCAAGTGCGGAGAATAACGGTCTTGGCATACGGTATGTATTGTGCATTCGTTATTTTCTTTTCTTTTCTACCACGTCAAATTCTGACGCCAAGACTCTCTACCTCCTCCGTTCCAACGCGTTGCTTGTTATTAATTTAAAGGAGCTGTGCAACAATTTTTGTAGTGTGCACAAATACCGCTTAAAACGGATCCCTAACGTTAATGACCTATGAAACACGCGTTCGTTTTTCACCCCACGCAATAGAAGTCCCAGGAAAAAATTTAAGAAAAACGAGCAGCGTTCACCCCCTCAACTCGCAGCCAGAACAAGCGGCCACGTGATCTGGAGCCGATTATATGCCGCCAGTGTTAATCATAGCCACGCGCTGGGGTTGGCAAAGCGCAGGACACGCGCTGAGTTCCAGACATTGTTATGGCTCGGCTATTGTCGTCGTTGCAGCGATTGAACACGGGTCACAACCCGAATGCTTCTCGAGCTAGCAATTGTCACGAGCCCAAGTCGAGTGCCCACGCAATGCTCGGGTCCAATCTATGAACCGCATTCAAAAATCGTCACTTGAGTGTACTGCGATCCCCGAGTTACGTCATCAAATTTTGCAAAGGAGAGATTGAATGAAAATGATTTTCTTTTGTCCTTGAAATTACACCGCAACAAAGGAGTTTCTTGGCCAATGGCGTTGCGTGTGAGTATCCTAGAGTCCCAGGTGTGCCAGTAAGCTCGTGTAGAGAGAAAAACTTTCCAATTGAATATCGTTGCACAGCTCCTTTAACAAATCAGCTTCAAATAAGGGTCGTGGCACCCTGTAGAGTAAGAAAAAGAACAAACAGGAATATTCTGAGCAGCCAAAGCAGCACGGCTGCTCTGGCCGCTCTGGCCAGAGCAGCTCCTCTCATCAAAGAATACGCCTTCCGAAACTCCAACGGCTCCCTTCCTATTTTATTTTTTTTATTCACTTTGTTACTTCATTTTGTTGTTGGGTTCGACTGCTCCCTTCTCTGTGACGATGCCGTCCGTGGACATACGTTTGGCGTTTTTTTTTTGTTTTTTTTTTGTCACGCGATGGTGTGGCCCGACCGATCAACCAATGAGTTTGTTAGAATTCTGTCACGAGGTATGAAATGGCGGATGAAATAACTATAATAAATGCAAAGAAGCGCGCAGTTCGCCCTCGGCGCTTTGTTCTTCCAGAGGCGAGCATCCCAGTGCCATGGCGTTCAACTTATGCCGTCTTCTTGGTGCCATGAAAGACCCTCTTGAAGCAATTAATTTGCTTTAGCGCGTTGGCCTGCTCCTGGCTCCTGGGTTTTCGTGCGTGTCCAGAGTGCGAAGCTGCGATGACAAGCTGCAAGTCCGCGCTAGATCTGCGGATGGCTACACGGGGGGGGGGGGGGGGGGGGGGGGTGCGGTGTGTGGGTGATTCGTGAGGTGCCCAAGAGGAAGTCGGCGGGGCGCAGTCTCGATACGGAGCGGTTCCCTTTTTCGAAGGATCGCACGCACCTGACGCTTCTCCAACTCATGAAAATCATCCTCCGGATGCCAGAACCTACCGTGCGCCGTCATTCAGCGGGAGGCTGATATCGCAAGTAAGACAATAATTGATTGGGCGAGCCTTTGTCGGTAGGTTGTGGTAAATGCCGTCTTTAAGCATTCAGACATGATTGGTGGCGACGGCGTGACTGTAGAACCTAACGAGAGTATGTTCGGTCGGCACAAGTACCATCGCGGGTATTTAAGGCCTGGCCAGTGGGTTTTCGGCGGTGTGGCGCGTTGCAGCGGGTGCTGCTTTCTTGTTCCCGTGGAGACCCGTGACGCTAAATCCCTGCAAGGGCTAATAGCCGAGTGGGTCCGCCCTGAAACAAGAATTATCACTGATTGTTGGGCTGGCTATCGCAAGCTTGCAGATGACGCTCGCTTCACGCGCCTCACCGTCAACCATAAGCTTAACTTTGTCGACGCGAACACTGGTGCGCACACCAATACGGTGGATTGCACCTGGGCCCACGTCAAAAACTCTCTTCCATGTGGACGGCGCGAGAGCCACCATTTCACTGGTCACCTTGGAAAGTTCATGTTTTGGAGGAGAGACAAGGCGCGCGGAAACACTGATAGATTCCAGTCGTTCGTCGCCGCGGCCGCCAAAATCTAGAGCCCCGACGCAGACAGAGCGAGGATTCTGACGGCCCCGGTGACTTCGAGGGATCCGCTGCGCTGAGCCCGTCACCCGCCTGCATGCATAAAGACGACTTATGCGCCAACCGCTCGTCAAGTGCTCGTTACGTCAGTTATAGGTTCTGGTAGCGGTCTAAACGATCCTTTTCAGGGCCCCCATATTTTGCAAACGGAGCTGTGCTTTTAATGCGGCACCCCGTGTCTCTGTAAAAAGTTCACAGGAAAGACCCAGCAAAGGTATGTGGTCCCCAACTTGGATATCGGGTGTTATGATTCAAATAAAAATTGTTCTTGCTTATTTCGCGCCTGTGATCAAAATAAATGCCGC